CTCAGGTCTCATCTTAACTCTCACCTCTTCGGAGAAGTTTTCTTGCACAGCTCCTAGCATGCAGTAGACACTCAATAATTGAGCCTTCTTTCCAAATTCCCTTGTTCTAGTTTAACACCAGATGTTGCAGTTTTAATTTTGCCCAAGCTATTTTACTAATAAAAAAGTGAAATAGGTTATTTTTATATTTTAAAACGTTCTATTATGAAGATCACCAATAGAATATTTTCAGTCATGTTATGACTGATGAACTTGGCTGTTATTGAGGTCCACCGTAACTGTGACATTTGTAACATTGTTCCAAATAAAAATCAATGTTAAAAAAAAAAAGACTTACTCTCCAGCTTTTGGAGAGCAATCCTCAGGAAGGGTTTACCCAGCCGTAGAACTAATATACATGTAGTACATCCACATAGAGTGCTCTAACTTACACTACAGATATTTTACTCTTCTGCTTCATCTTTTTATTTTTATCAGAGCAATGCCCACTAAATGAATTCCATCATGTTTAAAAAAGCCAAACTTTAGTATTTCATTGTCTACATACAGAGCATCTATGTGCAACATTAGAAGGTATGAAATATTGAGTTAAGTCATATACAATGTCTAATATCCTACAGGTTTTGACCAATAAGAATGGTAATTTCATCAATTTAGCCTAATACAACATGTGAGTGATATTAAATAAAAATGTATAAAAAACAGATCAAGAATAACTATAAAGGTTATATGGATACATACTTGAATATATATAGGTATCCCATTCATAAATTCTTAAGCTCTTGAGAAGTACCAATTTTCTTAACAAGTTTACGATTATCCCATCAAAGGTTAATTTTTTTGAGTCATGGAGTTCCCTCTAAAAATCCAATCATGGGGAGAGGGCATAGCTCAGTGGCAGAGTGCGTGCTTAGCATGCATGAGGTCCTGGGTTCAATCCCCAGGACCTCCGTTTTAAAAAGAAAGGAAGGAAGGAAAGGAGAAAGAAAGAAAGAAACCTAATTACCTGCCCCATCCCCCCAAAAAATCTTTTAAAAAATTAATTTAAAAAAATCCAATAAAAGCTGTATGTTTTCTCATCAGGAAAAACTAAACGTTTAAAGGCTTACATAAAGAAATTCAAATTTCTAGTGACTCAGTCCATGAAGCCAAGATCCAAGTTTAAGAAGCTCTGCATAACAAAAACTTTAACCATAGGCAAACAACTGAATAATGATAGTCAACAGAAGTCGTCTTTCTGCAAAAGCGCAGGGTACTCATATACTAAGTAACCAAGTGAATTTTCAAAGTAAAGTCTGATGGGTGAACATATTTTCTGACTGTATCCTGGCTGGACCGTAGAAGCAGGAGGGAATGTCACCTGAGTTAAATTAGAAAAAAATAGACACTGAAAAATATTCCTGATGTTTGGTATCACACGAGTTTCAGGAGAATAAAGATATTTATCTAATCTAATGGGCTTTATTAATAAATCCTTGTTGGTAGGCTCACAGAAACAGATCACACACAGAACTGACAGGTGATTGTTTACCTGTAACTTCTGCATCTATTTTAAATCCAGTCAGCTTACTGAAATCACTGGTTACCTAGTTACTGGTTAAAGTTAGAGGAAAGTGATTCATTTTGTTGGGTAATTAAATGAGGACATAGCTAGTCAAAGACTATATATAACCATATACACATACTCTGAAAATAATTAAAATCCAAAAAATTTTTATTACTTTTGGCAGAAATTCTATCCTTAATCTTAAACAGACTGCAGATGAGAAATTGTTGAGTTCAACTTTTTTGCCTATCCCACGCCTGCCATCACTGCAGTCTGCAAATGCTTTGTGTGACATGCAGCCGTGGTCTGTAAATCCATCGTTTCCTGACATTTCCAGGTGCCAGCATATACTGCTGTAATGATGGCACAATGACTCACATCCTTACCACACTCCCACTGCCATTACTCAGTGTAACACCTCATCCTCCACCACCTCTCACGGGCTGCAGTGTACCAGAATGCGGAAGGAGGGGCCAATGGTGGGACAAGCCTTAGTGTCGTTTCAAAACTGCATGCTGCTGTGAAATCAATTGAGTGGCCTATGACTAAGTTTTTGGTTTGGGGATTACTGGAGGGGAAGGGGAAACATTTAAAATGAAATCAAACATAATACAGTCAGAAAAAAACATCAGAGGGCATCATACATTGTAAGGGTATCTCTTCAGACATACATATGTGTGTGTGTGTATTTATGTATGTATGTATGTTTACAATCTTGATACAAAAGCTATTTTAAAATATAGGTCTCGATTTAAAAACAATCTTAAACTTTCAGGTTGGAGACCTATGTTCTAGACCCAGTATAATCCCTGAGTACAGCACTGTTTATGTCTTTCTTCTTTCAATGAAACTTCACATCTGCCTCTTAATCACATGTTATAAATTAAAATGATGTCCCTGTGGGTACTGTTTTAAATATCTAAGAAAAAAGTACTCTCTTTGGATAATGCAGAAAACAAAAAACAAACAAACCAAAAAACTTAACACAAACATGAAACAAAATAACAACCCCATTATTACTTAAAAAATTCATTATCTATCTGCTCATGTCAAAACAAATCACTCTGGCTGCACAAAGCACTTTCATCCCAAGAACCATCCATTCAGATCATATTTGGAACTTGTTTTCTAACATTCTATGTTTCTGTGTCTTTTAGATCTCATGTTTCTGACTTGACAATTGTCTGTTACCTCCATCCTCTGAGAAATTGCATAAATCATGTTGGAAAAGAAATCTTTTCCTGTACATTTCGTATTTTTGGATCACTTTCCTGGGTTTTTCATTCTAATGATTTTCCAATCATTCTAGATTTGCCTTGGAAGCATTTACCTATACCTCAACTCTCTAC